AGAGCTTTCTCCAATGCAAAACAGTCTCATCTACAATCCTCCACGAGCTTTTAGAAGATATATTCGAAGTTTGAAAACATTTTTTGTTTCTGCACTAACGGTTCTTTGTTTTTCAGTTGGTCATATTTATCATATAACAGCTGGGTTGCAGTGGTACTATAAAGCAGAAACTAACTTGATACATTCATTTGTTGGTCTTCGTCTTAAAATTCTGGGGTCACACGCTGTCAATGCATTAATCTATGGAATATTTGACAGACAAGTGCTGTCTTTTTGGAAGTGCTGTACAAGAAGATTTAAGCAAATGCAGATAACAAAACGTTCTTAATCACTTGCATGTTTCCTGTTCTAATCTAGTAGTGGAGATGTTTAAAAAATTTAATGTCTTGAAACAAGAATTATACCTTTTACAAATTTAATAATAGAATTAAGAAAAAGGAAGACCTCTGAAGCGTTCTTTAAAAATTTAATTGCTTTGAATAACACAACACAGAAACTTACCAAAATAACTTAAAGTTATCTGCAAAATATCTTAAGCAATATTAACGTGCTCACTAGAACCCAAATAAGTAATGATACTCGTCATTATTTTTCTAGTAAATAATAAAAGTTTTCTTCATTTTGATACTATTTCTCATTTTTTTCATCTTTGGAATGTTGGAAAAGTGTTGATGCATGTTCTTTTAAAGATTCTAGAGAGAAATGTAAATACAGAAAGCTATAAGTAAATTATTAATAAATAGAACCTAAAATGGCTTCGCATTCAGAAAAAAGCAAATTAAAATAAATTAGTGTCCTTTTCCACTGTTAAAAACAATGTTTGTCTCCTATAAAATGACCACTGTTTGAAATATCTTGTATAAAATATAAAAGAGGTTAACAATAATGTCGAAAAAAAAATAAACATGAAGGTACACGTAAAGATAGAAAAAAGGTAGATATGAGTGTGATAGAGACAAGTTATAATATTTACAATTAGAAAATGTGTTAAATGTTTAATTTGTTTGTTAAGATCGGATTTTGTTTGCATATGAGTAAGGCTTCATTAAGTTTTAGAGAAATTGAGTGTTGGCAGTGTCTAGGATAGTGAAACATGAGCGAGTGTATTTGGAGTGTTTAAAGCAATAAGTCAGAACGAATAAGAAAGAGCAGACACGTAAACTTGTATTGCTATGTTTTAAAACAATTTTCTTGAACAACTTCGAAAGTAATAAACAGTTTTTCATGGCATTTGGAAAGTGTAATATAGAAAAATGAAAAAGCTAAAAATTCCCGTAGGAAAGTCATTTTCCGTTTCCGTCAGTTTATGCTTGTTTCCATGACCTTAAATATGGACAAGCATTTGATCATTGAGGTTATTGATATTTTATGGAATTTCATGTAATGATTTTGCGTAAAACAGTCAAAATTTATTGTTCAATATGCCTTTTCGTCGAATATAATGTGGTAAATTTGGATACTTTTGAATGCACTTTGTCTTAGGGAACGTGCCTCTTCACATTTGAGCTGTGATGAGACGTTACGTGCGTTTGCTTTTATTTAACTGTAATAATATTTTAAAATTAAATATTATAAAAAGCGTTAAGTTTTGTTGATGATTGGTTTTGTAATTACACATTATAAACTTTCATGAATTCTGATTGGTCAGTATAGCTAACATAGAAGGCAGAACAAGTTATATAACACATTTGTTGAGTATTTCACTTACAGAGCACCGAAAAACCAAGTTCTTTTTGGTATTTGCAAAGCGAAATACAGAGATATACAGACCACTCCAAAACGTATAGTAAGACTATCATATCTATCATATTTTTATCATGGAAATTTTCTTTGTGTTGAGTATTGCAATATGCACATTTGTTATTTTTGGAAATACCCTTGTGATCGCTTCAATATTTAAACAAAAGATTCTGTTAAAGAAGAACTACTACTTTCTCGTCTTACATCTCGTGATATGTGACGCATTTGTATTAATAAACTTATCTTTTCTGAAATCTTGCATGTCAATTTAAAAATTAACTCATTTTGTTGGGACTGCTCAATAGATGGCATAAATATTTTTTTGAAATAAGTGGAGTTTCTATGATGTTGATCATTTCAGCTTTACGTTATCGTGCGATAATTCATCCATTAAAACCTTCCTTCAGTCGACGAAAGATAAAAATCGTTTGTGGCTCAGCATACATCATTGGTTTGGTTGCGACAGTTGGAATAACATTTCAAAAGTGCATTGTGAATCCTCAAGATTGTTATTACATTTACAAATTGCTTGCATTTTATTTATGTTTCTTCATTTTCCCAATAATCTTCATGACTTTAACTTACTCCATAATTGCTCAAGCATTGATCAAACAAAGAAAAGCACTTAGAGCTTTTTCCAATGCAAAACAGTCTCATATACAATTAAAACAAGCGTAAGAAGTCTTCTTCAGTCTGTATATTGAACTACATAAAAGACCTCTTTAAAAACATTATGTAATTCAAACACATAAAACCACTAAAACAAGAACATGCAAGTGATTGAAAGGGTAGTGTTTTGTTATTTGACCTAGCTCAAATTTGTCTCTTTGTATAGTATTTCTTAACTAATGAAAAGAATATTGTGTATGAAAGTACTGAGCAAATGTTTGATACGCGTTAAGTGAAACAATTTAGTTAAAAAAATCTAATTGATTTAAGAAAATCTTAAATGATTTAATGCAGTTCATTCTTGGGAATTAACCTACTTATTAGCATTTAGTACAGCTGCAGGGCGATCCACAGCTGGAATTAAGGATTTTCTCAGCGTAATCTTTGATTGTGTCTGATTGGTCCGTTTTCACCTACATTTAGTAGCGACATTTAGTACGTAACTCAGATACATCAATTTTATCGTCATGGAAGCTTATACATTTTCAATTGTCGCGATATGTTCATTTGGCGTTATTGGAAATAGTCTTGTGATCGCTTCGTTATTAAAACAAAAGTTTTTGTTAAAGAAGAACTTCTACTTTCTTGTCTTGCATCTCGCGATATGTGACTTGCTGGTACTGCTACAAATATTTCCAATATACATCATAAGAGTCACTACATCGTTCAACTGCGTGCGTATGGATCGCACAATTGTTTGGTTTCAAATAAGTGGAGTATCTATGATGTTGATCATTTCATTTTTACGTTATCGTGCAATAGTTCATCCATTGAAACCTTCTTTCAGTCGACGAAAGATAAAAATCGTTTGTGTTCTTATGGTAGTTGAAGTAGCAACTCAACCGTGCATTTTAGGTCCTGAAGGTCGTTATTACATTTATACGTTGCTTGCTTTTTACGCCTGTTTCTACATAATCCCAGTAATGTTCATGACTGTGGTTTACTCCATAATCGCTCGAGCATTGATCAAACAAAAAAAAAGCACTAAAAGCATTCTCCAATGTCACACAGTCTCATCTACAATCCAACTCAAGACTTCAAAGACACTCAGAATCGTAAGACATTTTTCTTTTGCATCAGCACGGTTTTCTGCTTTGCATTGGGTCATATTTATTTCACGACAGCTCGGTTGGACATGTTTTATTCTGCAGAAACTAATTTGTTAAATCTATTAGTTTCTTATTGTTTTAGAGTTCTCGGCTCGCACGCCGTCAATCCATTAAGGTGCACATACAGTTATTTCCAAATTCGTTGAAATTTTAAAGTTTAGACTGTGGAAAATATGATTTCTAAAAAAATTTCGTAAAAAAAGAAAAAACAAAGTTCTTTTGCGGTTTGAATTAGCTTGCTTTTGAGAAATTTCCGCGCCGCTGAGGGGACTTAAAACGAGAGGTTTGTGACGTCATTTAAGGAACGTATGAATGCGCTGCATACAAAACAACATAGTGTGAAATAACAATTCTTTATATATTGCTTTGAAATTAATATAAAAATTGTACGAAACATGTCCACATCTGATTCTGAGTCGAGTACAGCAACAACAGTGGAAAATATTGAATTGAACAGTCGGGAATTCGATTTAGAAGACGAAGATCAATCGTCATCAAATGCGCTCCGAAACACCGATGGCGATTTTGAGTATGGCCAAGCTGAAGCGTATGAAAACGAACCATTTGCAGATGAAGAGTGGTTAGAAAACTATATTAGAGAGACAGATGAAGAAAGACGCCAAACAGAAGAGCTCGAACGCAGAATGCAAAATGAAGTTCCTCTTGATTCTTGGTAAGAAAAGTTGGAAAATTTGTTTATTTATTGTTGCCGAAGCTTTAGACAGATGCCATTGTGGTAACTGCCGTGTTCCTCTTTTGGTTAATCCAAAAGAATGTAGATGCTGCCACGAAATTGCCAATTGCATGATTGAAATGCAAGATCATATGGTGGTATCCGAATTAGGAAGGCAGCCAAAATGCATAACAGAGCATCCAGGATTTGATGCCATTTGCCTCAATCGCTGGCATTAAATTTAGCTGCCAATCTTCACCAAAGACAAGATGGAGTTAGATATCATAAAGGATTCTTGGAGCAAAGGTTTGTTAGAATTATTAGTTAAATGTTTCTGTCTGGGTTATCTATGAATGCACACTTGCAAAATTTGTATTTTAGGGACTCCTACCTGTTTTAATGGACCTTGTGTATTATGCCTTTTCAGGGTTTTTCGAGTTGTTGCATATAGAGAATTTACAAGAATGGTACATGGCATTCTTCGAGACAAAAGAATTCCACTTCCAGCTTGTGCTTACCATGTTATTCGAAAAACTTTTAATTTAAAAAAAATGAACACTTTGCAGGGTATGAAGAGGTCAATTTGTAAAATAACATAACATTATATATTATTTTAGGTGTTGTTTGCATGAGCCCAGCTAGTAGGGATTCAGTGAAGTGTGGAATGATTTAAGCCACTCTTGATTTATTGCATCTTCGATTCACACTTATACTTGTTATACAAAACATACAAAATTACAATTCCTTTCTCTTTATTCTGTCCATGCAGTCAATTCACACTTCACTGAATTCCAACTAATTGGGCTCATACCACCAGGTCCAAAAAACTGGTTACTTTCGGTTTTTTGGACAGTTCATTATATTTTTATGGCCTTTCATCCAATTCTTGCACACAGTGCATCGAGGTGCTGCTCTCTCATTTCTCTGATTAGTGATTATTTCTTGGAGAGGTGATACTTCAGCTATATCAAACAATAAAGTGAGTCAGTTCCAAAAATAAGATTCAAATTAACTCAAAGCAAGTAATGCCTTTTGTAAAACCTGGCTTAGTTGGGGGGAAATGTACAGCTGGCATGCTTTTTCTTCTTGCTTTTTTTGAGATAGCTTCACTTTTTGATTGCTTGTCCAACATGGAATTCATTGGCAATGGAGTCATTCGTAAAAGATCACCTTTGGCTTTTCTCAATGTTTCCTCATCAATGAGTGCAGAGCACAACACTTGATAAATATCTTCAACATACCCTGGAGGAGCAATGTGCAAATTATTCAAAATTTTATTTTATGGTAATCATTTCTTATTAAGGCTTTCATTATTATGGCATTAAACACATGATATCTGGCAGTAGGAGAAATGTCTTAAATAACCTTACCAAAATCCTGAGCAACTTTTACATTTCTTACAACAGCTTCACCATTTTTAAATTTTGGATAATGCACTTTAACCTGGGGAACTCCATTAACCTCTTGATTATCCCCGTCCAAATTGCTGTTGAAGTGAGTTACAGCAAGGATATGCCTTCATGAAATATAAAATTGCATTCAATTTCTTGAAGAAGTTTAAATTGGCACAAGGGAATAAAAACTGTAATGACACATTGGTGTTTCATCACACATGTTTCATAGAATACCTGCAGAACATCCCAGGAAAAGAGTAGCTTATCATTTTGGGTGCAAACTGGTTAAGAACTGAGTGAAATCCCTCCAATGCACTTGTTTGTGACATTGGAGAAGCTTTAACGATTCCAGCAATCAACCTTGGTTTAGTTAAAGTTGCATACATCTTATTGTATGATATAGAATCTAAAGACAAGGCAATGAATAAGAGATTATTAAACACATAATATTTCTTTTTAATAGCAACAAGAATTTTTTTAGATTTTTTACCTTCATTTAGCCATTTGCGTGGTTTTATGTTGGAATCATGAGCACATTTGTCAAATAAAGGGTCTCAAATAAAGGCTCATCACAAGTTGTTTCTTCTATTTGCTCTTGAGGTTCGCTACTTGTACTTGGAATATTTTCTGATTCAACCTCTCTTTTATAATCAGATATCCACTTTCTTTTCATCTAAAATGGCATGTATTTATGAAATATACTCTCACACAGATTCCAGGTAAAATGTAGATATGCGTATGTATAATTTTAACGTACTCACCATTCTGCGATCCCGTGTTGTAAGTTCATTGTCATCTTTTCGAGGATAAATGCTCGGGTAGGCAACGATTCCGAATTCATCTCGAATGAGTCGAGGTGCAAAATTACTTTCTGATTCAGAAAGCGAGCCGAATTGCCGAGAAAACGAATCTTTTGTGAAGTGTTCCGAGCAAACTGCGGAATTCTTTGTGGGGACCCACTTATCGCGAGTAGCTTTCACAAAGTTGACCCATCGCTTTCTCCTACGCTTAGCTTCGCTTCTTTCGTCGTTAAAAAATGGTATGCGATGAAGTGAAATGCCTTTCTCCAAACTGGCTACGTTAGAACAACCAAAAACTACACATCGATCTGGCATTTTTGTGTTTGTTCACATGCATAAACAGTGTAAGTTTTATTGGAGGTCAGTCTGTGTTCCTTAAATGACGTCACAAGTAAGTCCCATGCCACGGATTAGAGCTCTCGACAGTTTTTACAAAACGTTGAAATTTAGGTTTTATTCGCATCTTTGCCGAAAGATAACTCAAAAACGAAAAAAGTTATTCAAATTCTGTAAACGGCATTTGTATTATTTATCCAAAATCTATTTGAGATTAAAAAACTAAAAATAACTGTATGTGCACTTTAATCTATGGAGTTTTAGACAGGAAAGTGTTGTGTTTTTGGAAGCGCTGCACAGGAAGACAAATTTAAGCTAATTCAGATCGAAAATCGTTTGCTTTTGAATCACTTGCATGTGTTTCCTGTTCTGTAGATAGTTTTGGTGTTGTAGCCATATGATATTTTCCCCATCCATCTTAATCAAGAAGGTCAAGTTAAACCTCTTTTCTCAACTGACATTGGGTAGATATCACACAAAATTGGTATCAATAAAGTGAAATTTCATGAACGACTTTTGTTCCTCAGGCTTATTGGGATAAACTATAAGATTCAGATTTGTGATCACCACCATAACAGATTTCTCTACAGTTTTTCTATTTTCATTGCAAACTTGGCCTCGTGCTGTAATCAAAAGACAAACAGCTGTTTTTTGAACCCTCAAGATATATTTGACACCAGTGCTCATTTATGTAAATATGTAAAATAAGCTTTTATTCATGAAGTATATTATCTCTAAGTTTGTAATCTTTGAGTGTAGTTTACTTAAGCATATAAAAATAGATTATATTGTTGTAAAAGTTCATAATATAGCTGATGACGATGAAAACATTTACACCGACTAAAACACTTAATGAAAGCTTATTATAGGCATCTACTATAAACTATTTTACTTTACAATTTCGGCCGTACAAGCATTGAATTCCTCATATGTAGAATACTCCACAAACAACTGTGGATCTTATAAAGATTCAAATTAGTTGAAAAAAAAGGAGAAAAATCTAGAAATTACCATACTTGGTATGTTGTTTTGGAAATGATGACATGTTTTTTGCTTTTAATTGTTGCAAAAAATTTCTAGTACCTTTGCTATCAGCAAACATTTAATCAACGGGAATTGATGATAACTTACTCAATTTCTGAAATTTTCTCAATTTAGTGAAATAATTTATTTCAAGACTCTATATGTTTTTGTGTCAAATAAATTGACCAACTTAGATAATTTTTATGTTTAATCAAAGAAAACGTGCCTATTTACACAACTCTAATGCTGCGCTAGCTATATTGTTTTTTTTTATTTACTGAAAAAGAAATTGTTGAACAGGTTAAGTATTTTTACAACATGCTTCTGATTGGTCTCTTTCAACTCACATATACATATTAGGAATATTTAGTTGGTCAGCCATATGTCAATCCTATCGTTTTGGAATTATATTGCTTTCCCATGCATTGTCGCAATGTATGTGTATTTGGTATTGTTGGAAAAACCTTCGTTTAATGGAAGAAAGATAAAATATTTTGTAGTTTAGCGTACATCAATGGTTTTGTAACGACGTTTGGAATGACAATTCGAGTGTTTATTGTAGATCTTTGAGGTCCATATCTTCTTTAAAAATTATTTATTTATTTTTTGTCGATTCTCTGCTTTTCAGTGAGTCATAGCAGCATGGCAGCCTGAAGCAGCCAGCTTATGCACTGATGTTGAGAGTGCTTCTTCATTTAGTATTATTATTTTTGAATACATTGCTTTAGTTATCTGTAATAACAGTTTCAAGTAATAACTTTGCCATTTTGTCCCAGAAGAGTTACAAGTTGCGTTCTTTTCATTTGAGAACATAAAAGAAATATGGAGAATAACAACGATGGTGTAATGTACGGTTTGAAATTTAAAACCTTTCATAAATAAAACAAGTTCTCCAGGCAATGGGTTATTTAGACGTTTGTGATAAAATTCAATTCTTGCTTTTCAGATTTGTCATTTCCATAGCGTACTGTACTTCAATGTACTTTGAACCAATCATAAACCTTGATAAAAATATCAAACTTTATACCCGGACAAATTTAAGGATGACCAGAATTACATTGACGGCAAATTTTACCATTAAAATTTCTTTTATTTACCATGGCCTAATGTACAGGGTGTAAAAAAATGAGGCCTTTTGAAACTGACGTATCGTGACGATTTCAATGTCTATGTCTATGCTACGTCAACAAGTGCATAAAGTATTGTCAGTCACTAGCAAATATAACAGATCTTTCTCACCACCACTATAAGGTTCATCTGAGTCTATGTACCAGTGGGGTTATTATAGTAATAACATGGCTGCCTAGGGATCTTTTGTTATCACAGTGAGCCTCATCAATAAAACAATACGCCTATATTGTTTTCAAATTATGTTGTTTAGTGGTAACAGAAATCGTCTTACCCTTGCGTCAGAAAGTTTGTTTTCACTAACTTGGGAAAACCAGTGATGAACTTTGTGAATAACTTTGACAATAGTTAACAGACAAAATGTATTTGCAAAGCAAATTCATACACAGGCTCCCTGAACTAATTCGAAAACAGAATTCACAATTAAATATCTAGATGAATTTCTTTATTCCATCACCGACCATGAAAAATGTGAGCTTTAAACACCATCAATTGCTGTCAATTTCAAATAAGTGAGCTCAAAATCTGATAAAATTATTGTCAAACGGAAGAGTCGAATGCATTGATTATTCCTTCCGCAACCATATTATTACAGAGTAAACGCATGGTTTAAGGGATATTTAAATGTTCCCTTAAGCCTCGAGATGTTTGCGGGACATTTAATCACTAATATGCTTGAAAGCTATAATAATAACATTCTGCCTTGGGATATTTCGTTATCACAGTGATGTTTACTGACGTATTTCCCTCAATTATAGATCTAGGGATAATTACTTCTAAATATCCCTCCTTAATACATTCATTAGGGACGCTTAGACTAAATTTATAGTGCCTCACACTTTGTGTCGTTGAGTGGTAACCAAACTCATCTTACCCTCGCTTCAGGAACTTTCTTGTCACGAACTTGAGTAAACCAGTGATGAATCATTAATAACTTCCACAATAAGTAAAAGGCAAGATGAATTTGCTAAGCAAATTCATATATAGGTTTCCTGAACCAATTCAAATTCAGAATTCACAATGAAATACCAAGACTATACCAACCTGGACGATCTACATGTACAAACATGTAACATTTAATCACCAATAACCCTGAAAGCTTGCATTAATTTACTTCTAATAATCCGGTATTGAAATGTCAAAATAGCGATTAGCTTGTTATTGATTACCAATGCTGGCGAAATGGCTTCTAAAACAGAAAGTTACAAGAACATTTTGGCAGTGCGAAAATAAAGTTGTACTCAAACAAAAGAATATAGCATAAATAACAATTGTGCAAACGTGAAACTTAACAGCAGAATCTTTACGATAATATATACACATGAAATTGTTTGTAGAGATAAAGATGTTCATACGTAAATAATATATTCTCGTTAGTGATCCTTAATATATCAGAGCTTCGTCATGATGTAATTGCACTTTGTAAAACTTTCCATCAGTGAAAGAAAATACCATTACATGTGAGTGATAATAGTTTGGAATATTGACCGCCAACAACTCATCCGTAGATCACCTTTAGGTTAAAACTACTCTCAGATAATTATTCATACAAGGTCCATCTACTTCTTTGAAGCTTCTATTGCTCATAAGTTAAAATTTTCTATACAACCAAGAGACTCTATCTACCCTAACAAAACAATGCCATGGAATGCCTTGCCGTTCATTATCACCAAACAATTCAAAATTTTTTTGAGAAATTTTGAATAGTTAACAAGCTTTCTATAAAATGAATTAAAAATTGAATTCGTTTCTCTTGTAGAAAAACTGTATTTCCTTCACTCAAAATTTCGTTTAGTAAATTGTTTGTAGTTAATTATAGATAGGAATATTTGTTGCAAGCAATAATGCCAATGGGCAAAACAGGTAGACTTGAATGTAAACATAAAGATAGACATAAAGGTAGACATAAAGGTAGACATAAAGGTAGACGTAAAGGTAGACATAAAGGTAGAGACAAAGTTAAACATAAAGGTAGACATAAAGGTAGTAACAAAGTAGACAAAAAAGTAGACATAAAGTTAGACATAAAGGTAGACGTAAAGGTAGACATAAAGGTAGACACACAGGTAAACATAAAGGTAGACATAAAGGTAGTAACAAAGTAGACAAAAAAGTAGACATAAAGTTAGACATAAAGGTAGACGTAAAGGTAGACATAAAGGTAGACACAAAGATAAACATAAAGGTAGACATAAAGGTTGTAACAAAGTAGACAAAAAAGTAGACATAAAGGTAGACATAAATGTAGACAAAATGGTAGACACAAAGGAAGACATAAAGATGGAATTAATCCGAAATAACTTGAATACAAGATTGAAAATTATTCATAGCTCCTAAAACGTACTCAAAACCTACCTAATGATTTATATTTTACATAAAAAATGATGGAATTGATTAAAACGTGATGAGTTTAATAAAAAACAAGAGAACATGCGCTGTAAAATATATTTCTGTTTATGAATATATTTCTGTTTGTCCATTATTAGCAAGCATTTACTGACAGTTCCATCGTTCTCAACATCTCGTTAGAAATTTCCTATAACGTACAAACTTTGAGCAATCTGATTTATATTCGTAATTGATCGATTATTTCTTACTTCAATTCTCAAAAAAATCTATTTTTCCATATCAAGCAATTTAATCGATGCCACGACTTAAATTTAGATTTCAAAAATGGGTTTATTTCTTCGTTTCTCTGCCTTTTGTCTTTGAGAAGTTGCATATTAACATCTGCGATTTTGCTCTTAACTCACTCATCGTTATTGATTTGTTTTATTACGCAGTGCAAACTTTTGTCAGTGGTTTTTTATTGGTCAATTTTAATATATATTTTACAAACGTGAAATAATGTCCTTTCAGTTGCAGATGTACATAACAACAAATTTATATGAAACATCGTTGAGCATTGAAACTGCACTGATAAATTACAAAGAAACGCAGTTTTTCTTGGCATTTAGAAAGTGAAATACAAAAATGAAAGCAGCTAGAAATTTATAGAAGAAAGTCATTTTCTCAGCTTCCAACAGTTTATTTACTTACACGATCCTAAACATTCACAAGCATTTGATTATTGAGGTTACTGGTATTTTCTTGAAATTTCTTTAATTTAATAGAAAATTTTCGTATTAAAAAGTCACAGTTAATAGTCCATTGTGGCATCTCGTCATAAAAACATAGAAAATTTAAATACTTTTTAACGCGTTTTGTTTTTGGGAACGTGCTTGTTCACACTCGAAGCTGTGCCGTGACGCTATATTAGTTTTTAATTTTATGTACTGTACTAGTATTTTAAATTTAAATTCAACAAAAAAGGAATAAGTTTCATTGATGTTGGTTTGATAATTACACAGTATAAACTTTCGATAGTTCTAATTGCTCAGTTTTAACACATAAATAGATGTAAAGCTGAAAATGAAGTTAGAACAAAATAGATGGCAAAATTCATTGAAACCGACGTATAACTTAAATATCAAAGAGAGGTTTTTCTTTCTAAATGGCCATTCAGTTTTGATGTTGCTTTATTTACTAAATGACCATCATGGGCTGAAGCATAAAATTTTTTTCTAAGCTAATCCTTCATGTTGAATGCAAAAAATTTTTTTCTTTCATTGTTATTGCTCTTTGGAGATTAACTATCTTTAATCGAGCAACTTCTAAATGTCGAATGATTACAAATACTAGCAGCTTTTTGCGACAGCCTCTACGTACAAACCAACTATTCTAAGGTGTGGCTATAACTTATGATTGACTTCTTTGCTTGCAGAATGGCTGCCAAACCAGATACAAGATTATAGTGGATGCTGAAACACTATGTAAAATGAAACAAACTCAGAGGACAGTACCATTTTAATTCGTTGTATGAGAGGAGACAAGAATACCGTTTCGAACTTCTTACTTTACATTTCGTCCCCGCAAAGTTGATCTCAAAAAAAAGGAAATGTTATAAAGAATAACTGTTGGTCAAATTGTTAACTTTAACCGCTAAGAATTTTTGGAGATTTGGACGTATGATGCTAAGGCTCATGATGGTAAGTCAAATAATAAAAAACCTTCAAACATTCTTTCGGTTGAAGATAATGTCTGTCGTATGTAGTTTAGAATACGTTGTTACGCTGCATACAAACACTCCCAACACGTACACTCAACTTGCGCTCAGCATTGTTTTGCGTTTGTTGAATGATGTGTAAGCGATGCACGCAATCGCTGTAAGCATGCTCATCCTTAAATGATAACACGCAGCATCATGGGATACAATGTTGAAGCCTAGCAACTGCATGTATACTAGCAACGGTTGCAACTATTGCAATTTGGTCATAACAATCATATGAAAAATTGGTCATTTAGAAATTGCCAATTACAATGGTCAATACAACCATATCACTTAGAAATACTCTGGTCACTTGGAAACAACAAGTTAAACAAAATATTAATCCTAACACTGTTTTTATATGCATATGAAAAACATGTCACTTGGACGACATTTGTACTCGCACCTTCGGGATACTAATCCGCCGCTCTACCTGTTGAGCTACCAAGCCCACAGGTAGTAGAGACGAGTCATACTCATCTGAACGAGATGATTCTCGCAATGATATCAGTTAAGATGGTTTAAACAAAAATTTTTAATGGTTGTAACCAATATGCAATTTTGTCATAACCACCGTGTTCAAAATTGGTCAATTAGTAATGACTAAATAAGATTTTATTGAACAACAAACAATAGGTCACCTTTATTTATTTGTTTATATTTGTTTTATAGTAAGTGTGTTATAGTTTTGACCACATGACATACAATCAAAAGAAATAATCAAAATAGATAAAAAAAAATATATATATAAAAGAAATCAAGTTGAATGCCACAGGATCATTTAAATGACATTTACAAGAGTGCCATTAGTTGCTCTTATTCTTCACAATATGACTTTAGCAATTAAAGCATGTTATTTCCACAGCAGGAACATATTGATTCCAAGTTAGTGAAATAACACTTCCGTCACTTCAGTAGCTACGTAATTCGCATTGCAGGCGAAAACGGGCGACTAACCTCGATATTACTTTTTTATTTGCATTATGCTAAAAGTAGAGTTGGCTTATGAACACGATTTGTGAGACTTTTTTTGAATTATCTACATTAACGGCGTTGGTTCAAAGAAGACATTATTCAATCACGTACTTTAATAGCTGTTAAAGACAGTTGGAATGACAGTTAAAGAGTACATTGTTGATCATTTTTCATGTCTGCTCTTACGTTTTCTCAATAATATTCATGATTGAGACTTACTCCATAATCAATCGAGCATTGGTCAAACAAAGAAAAGCACTGAAGACATTCTGCAAACCAACATAACTTCACCTTAAGTCCTCCATCACACATACTCAAAATAGTACGACATTTTTCATCTGCGTAAGCACAGTTCTCTACTTAAAAACGGGTCATATTTATTATTTTGCTGTAAAGATGCGCTGAAACTTGAGATAATGCTCTTTCTCTAATGATTCAGTCATATATTCTTCCTTTATTGAACGCTTATAGAAATATGTACACAATGATTCAGTCAAATATTCTTCCTTCATTGAATGCTTCCACAAATATGTACACTGCATTTTCTGTCCGTGTTTTGAGGTCATTTTGTGGAATCCGCTGATCTATAAAATGCTGAATGGAGAAATACCGCACGGTATTATTACTGAAATAGCTGTTAAAAAAATTGATAAAATTCTAGTAATTATCATTCCACTTTTTTTCGAGTTTTTTATTTGCCCGAAACTTTCATGTATTTAAATAGCTAAAACTGTATTACAATTGTTGAACAGGAACAAGTTGAAAACCATCAACACTCAGAGAAAAACACATGCAAGCCGAGATCTGTGTAAACATTTTTTATATACAAAAAACGTTGTGATGGTAGTCATTGTTACAGGCATCTAATGTAAGATGTTTTAATTTATAATCATGTGTCAAATATTGTGTGATACCCAGCAAACAACTGATTTTCTTTTGGAGATTCAAATAAGGCAGAAATATGAACAAACTCAAAATTATAAACATGTTCATTCAGAAGATAACTGGCCATATAACTGATTAAATTTCTATAAGATCATATCGTTACCATGTCCTTTAAAAATATTTTCAGGTTCGATAATATCGTTCTCCTCAAACGCTTGAAATTATTATTAACACTACTGTGTTTAATTGCATTTGTCATTTGATTTATTAAAATTTATTTTTAATAATCTTTTTCTCAGTTGTACATGCATAAATATCTCAATAGTGTCCATGCATACATGTCGTACAACGGACTCCAAATGGACTTTATTATTCTAAAATATTTGAACTTCAGTTCCTGCAAAAAGTTATATCTCAGTCTGTCAACAGCTGGCATGCTTACATGACAACAAATGCTTCGACTTCGCAAAAAATGGATTAATAACCCATTTACCAATTCAGTTCAGAGATATTATTATCCATAAATAACTTGATTGAGCCGACTATTAATGATGACCATGAATATATGAGACTTCTGCTGGGTTGGGACAAATCATTAATAATGAGAGATATTGTAGTTTCTGTTATGGCATGCTTGGCATTGCTGGAAATACTCTTGTGATCGCTTCAATTTTAAAACAAAAGATTCTGTTAAACAAAAACTACTACTTTCTTGTCTTGCATCTTGCAATATGTGACTCAATTGTACTATTGCGTATATTTCTCTTTGAGATTTTTGAACACTATTTAAAAAGCAATCCAATTTTGTTAAACTGCTCATACATAAGTGGCATAGATACTTTTTTTCAAATAGGTGGAGTATCTATGATGTTAATCATTTCAGTTCTACGTTATCGTGCGATAGTTCATCCATTGAAACCTTCCTTCAGTCGACAAAAGATAAAAATCATTTGTAGTTTAGCGTTTATCATTGGTTTAGTTACGACAGTTGGAATGACATTTCAAGAGTGCATTGTGGATCCTCAAGCTCGTTATTATATTTACGAATTGTTTGCGTTTTATTCATGTTTCTACATTTTCCCAATAATCTTCATGACTGTGACTTACTCCATAATCGCTGATTGTGACTATAAGATAATTAGCTAATTCAGATAACAGGACGTTTGACAATTACTAATATGTTTCCTTTTTTAATGTTTAAACTATTTACGTTAAATTAATGTTTCAAAAACAAGGCCTTTATTGATTTCAGTATCAGAACCAAGAAGACGACGTGCTTACTGAAAAAATATTTTAT